AGACCTTGTCGAAAGCCATTCCATTTTCCTCTGCAGTGTCATCACTTGAGCAGTGTCAGGGACACAGACAAATCCTCTTTCCTTAAAATAGAAGAGCATCTCCCCCTGCAGCCGTGACGCGTCTGCGGCTTGTTGCAAGGTCACAGGGATGAATTCTGTGGGGGCATTGCTGGATACGGGGAGGGGGTTGTCCCCTCTCCCCCTCCCGGCCCAGCTCTTTGTTTCCTTTTTCACAAAGCTGCAGAGGCTGCTCAGACAACCAGCAAGTGGCTTTGGTCCTGGGTGTCTGTGGGTGAGCTTAGGAGGACACAGGCAAATGGGTCTGGTTTTGCATCAGCTGGATGCCAGATTGTGCCAGAATCAGATGAAGGACTTGGAGATTTTCCATCCTGACGTGTTGTGGTTTAACACACTGTGAGACAGCTTGGGATTCCAAGAGGCAGTTTTCAGCTCTTGAGTCGGGGGTGTGAAGAGAGGGTTAAACAGTTCATCAGCTCTCAGTGCCAACTGTCCCCAAAGCATCCTTTAATCACAATTCCACCTCAATATTCCAGGAACCACCTAGAACTGGAACTGAGGCGGGAAAGAGACAGATGGTCCCACAGTCAGCAGTGTGGCCAAGAAAACAAAAAAGGGCCAAAGAACTGGCTAAGACAGGTAATGAGACTTGGGCTTTTGGCTCAGGTTTGAGGTACAGTTTCACTTGGCTTGTTTGCTTTTCGTGAGCTTTCTCAGGCAATAAATAGGTGGTGTTCATGTGCCATGACCCAAGGAGCTTTGTAAGGGTTTTTACACACACTGAGCAGGCAGTTACAGTTGTAATGATGTGAACTGTGCAGTAACTGATGATTTCCACAGTTGTCTTGTACTGCCACACTTGAGCTGCCTTCACTGGGCTCCCTGGGATGCTTCAGTGATGCAGTTCTGACTTTTTTCACCAATATTACACATAATTCCAGTGAAGTTTAAGAGCCCATCTCTGAAATGTGCAATTTACTCTTTATTCACAGCAAAAAGAAAGCACAGAGAACTGCTCCCAGGGGAGATGGGTGCCCAAATACTCCTCTGTGCCAAGGAGGAGCAGACCAGTATCCCAAAATAGCAATGCCAAGTCTCCCCTTGCACGTGGCAGGAGTGAAACTGGAGTCTTCCTCTAGTGTACCTGATGGATGAATGTTTCCTTTTGGCAGGATGGGAAGGTCAAAATCCAGGAAGAAAATGCTAAACTGAAACAGGCACTGAGAGAGGAGAACAGTGTCCTGCCACACAGGTAGGGAAGGAAACAAACCTCATTTCTGTCTCCTTCTTTCCAAAGTCCTGGTTCCCTTTCTCAGATTACTGTGCTGATGGTGAGTTTGGAATAGTCCAGCGTCCCTTTCTAAGAAATATTTCCAACCTTTGTTGAGGCCTCTGCTGCTTTTCCATAGCTCTCAAAGGGAAGGAGGAGGTTCTGTTGCTTGCCATCAGCACTTCCAGATGGGAGAGGCTCCATCTGTCTCTAATTTACCTTTGAATTGGTTGCTATTGAAATCTGCTGCTTACTAATTTTTCTGACTCAAGAAACTTTGGTAAGCCAAGTGCAAGACCTTGGGGACTCATGTCCAAAGTATTTTTGGTGAGGGAAAGGAGACTGGTTGGAGGATCAGTGGTGTTTAGAGCTAATAAAGAGAAGCTGTTGGAGAAAGAACTTAAATAAGGTTTTTAAGAAGATGGCTGTGTAAAAATGTGGTTCAGATTGCTTGTGTCCAAGCTGAATATTAGAGAAGAGGATTCTTGTATTTGGTTTTAAATGTTAAAAGATGTTTTCAAAGCCCCTGGACACAGCTATGTACTGAGGCCTTGGCTTGGGGGTGGAATAGCCCATGGAAAGTGCTCTAAATGTCAGGGCTCTGGTGCAGCCCAATGAGTCCCGATGGGAAGCTAATCAGGAAAGTAGCATCTTAAAAACAGCATAAGCTCAGTTCCAGTCTGCTTTGCCAGATACTGAAAACTGTCTGTGCCCAAGATGCTTTTTAGCTCTGTTTCACCTGGAATGTTTTAGCAGGTGAGGGTCAGGCTGATGATTTACCTGCAAGGCCTCACGGTGCTTTAGCTGCCTGTTCACAGCATGTGTAGGCATCAAACCTTCTGCAGGCCTGAGTTTAAAGCCAGTTTCAAACTGTGTTGGTACCACCTAAACAGTCTTTTCCATGTTCATGCTCCCTCTCCTCGGCTCTCCTGAAGGCATTCTGCAGGTTTTTTGCCTGTTCTTCCCATTTAGACAGGAGTGCTACTCAAAAGTCCGTATGAGGGGAGGGTTTTAAAAACCGGGTAAGGCAATTCCCTGGTAGCCCAGATACTTTATTTAAAAGCTGTGGTGATGGAAGCCCTGTTCCAAGTGACACTGTTGTTCCCTTCTAGGTCACCAAGCAGCAAGCAGGAAGAACAGGTGAGTGATACCCCTTCTTGGTTTTGTTCCTGTATATCCAATGAACTAAAATCCATTCCTGATTCCCCCTGGGTGCCTGGCAAAGCACAGCCAGACCCCAGACTGTCACTGGGATGTTACAACACTTGTGTTGTCCTGTTCACTGGGAATTCCTGCCTGTCAGCTCTTGTTTACAGTGCAAAAGATGCTTAGTTCCCCCCCTTGTTGCTGCAGAGCTTTCTCACAGGGGGTGTTGGTTTTGCCTTGGTGTTTAGGAGCAGCTGTTGGGCCCTGGACACTCAGAGATGTGCCAGCTCTGCCAGGAGGAGAGCAGCCGGAACCAAAGAAAGGTAACTTAGTATTGACATGGCCCACACCTGGTGACTGCCTTCCTTCTGGTTTTTGTTTTGGAATCACAGATTCCTGCTGGTGACTTGGACAAAGAAATGAGCCCTTGCAGGCCCTGCTGCCCTTAACATAACCTTGTTAAATACTGGTGGCTCCAGGGTTCCCCTATGCCCTGTTCAGTGGTTTGTTTTTCCTGCCCCTGAGCAGCTTCTTCCCTTTTTAGCTCAGTTTGTTTTTCCCTGAGTTGATCTGCCAAGTCCTGAACCTCTCCTTGATTTCTGTGCTTTTCCTGCATCCCAGAACATCTGCAAGAACTGTGGGGGCACCTTCTGTGAAGCCTGTTCAGCACACGAGCTGCCCCTCCCATCCAGCATCAACCCTGAGCGTGTCTGCAATCCCTGCCACCAGCAGCTCATCCAGCAGTATTCCAGCAGCCCCTTGTAGGGAATGGGTGGCAGAGGGGTGACAATGGTTGTAGCTGATGGTGTTTCTGGAGTTGTTCAAGGGGAACGTGAGGACACTTGCTCGCGTGCTTTGGAGGTTGGAGGGAAGCAGCTTCTTGGTGTTTAGAGTCTCTCGTGACTAAAACAACAGTCTGAGCCTTCCCTGTACCAAAATCCAATTGTGTTGTGGAGAACTGCATTGGGAATGTCAATGGAGCAGCCCCAGTGTGTGCTGGAGCAGTCTCGGGGCTCAGGGAGCCCCTGCCCAAACCAGAGCTGTGTTTGCACGTGTAAGTTGGGAATGTTCTTGCCCTCACACATGTGCTGTTGGGCATGTGCTGCTGCTGAGCAAAGGCTCCCTGAAAACCAGCTGGAGCATTGGTATTCCTCACATCTGGCTGCACTTGAAATCCCATTTCCTTTCCCAGCTGCCTTGGACAGTCTGGCTCATCCCTGGGACCCCAGTACACAGTGTGAGCAGGCCAGGTGAAGCACTAGTGAACACGTTCTACCTGCATTTCCTTGGCTCAGGGCTCTGGCCAAGGGCTTGCTCTGCACAGGGAAACCCCAAACCAAGCTGTGAATGTTCTGTTCCCCCTTTGTGCTTTAGGAGCTGGGCCAAATTCCCATCACACTCCGGTTTAGGGCCACTTGGATCCACCTCTCCCCCTTGCGCACATGGAAACATTGTGGCCATAAACCCGGCATTTCACTTTTTGTTGTATCAAAATAAAATGGGAACACTTTTCACCTTCAACAAGTTGTAATTGCAAACACAGTTCAGAGAGGTTTCATGGTTCGTGCTACGTCATTCTTTGTTGCTGTTCCCTCAAGGAATTTTGTTACTCCAAAGAGCGGTGGTGGCTTCCTTGTGTCACAGGAGTGTTCACTCCTTTTCCTGCTGGCACCTCCTGCAGTCTCAGACCACAGAATGTTCCACAGTCCACAGCAAATGGATGCATTGATGTGACAAATGCATTGGGGTTTGTACAGATTGTTATTAGGGGTTGGTTAATTCCTTGGAGGGGAATTAACCCTAGTTAATAGTAGTCTTTAGAGTGGCTGGAACTGCAGGAAAAGTGTCTCAGAGCTGAGGTTACTGATGTGGTTGGTGCTGGTTTGTACCAGGAATTATTTCTCCTAGTTCCCTCTAGGCCTTGGTGTGTTCAGCCACCCAACTTACACTCTTTTTTGCTCTTTTCCCCACCTGTGGCAGTTTCCCAACCCCTTTCCTTGCTGCTATCCCTTAAAGTAGGACAGGAGTTGTAAACAGTGTTGAAATACAAGAAGCTTGGAATTCAGGTGAATTCTTGAATTCTCTGAAGGGATGACGCACTGGAGATGGATGGAGAAAACACTGAATTTAGTGTCAGTAGTTTTGTGTACACAGTGTATAGATCCAAACCAGTAAAATTCTTGCATCCAAGCCCAGTGTGACTCATCCCCCAAGGAGAAAGGGAGACCTAGGCAATTTCCCTATTCGGGGGAGCATTAAACTGGACATGGAGGATTAAATTCTGTGGAGCAGGGAGGTGGCTGAGCCCTCTTCAGAGCACAGCACTGGTGGCTGCCAGCTCCCTCTGTGCTCAGGTACTGAGCATGGGCTGACACCTGGACACTGGGGTTGGGAATGGGGGGGCAGGTTTTTTGATGTTAATTTTGTTCCACACAATAAAGAAAACTTGATCATCCACTTCTGGTGTCTTGAGTGGTCCTTCCCTCCCATTCCACTTGGGCTGCAGGTCTGAAAGGATTCAGAGCTACACTGTGCACCTGTGTGAGGACTCAGATCACTCAGCTGCTGTCAGTTGTCAATCCTGGTGTTTATTAATGCACCGTTCTGCACCTGGAGCCCAGGACTGCTCCACCCATTGACCATTCCTGCAGTGCAGCTGCTGCTGCTTTTGTAACACTCCCCCCAGTCCAGCACATTTATTACATGCTCCTCTTACACAAGGCTAAGCTAGATCTTACAGTTTGTCCTCCTTGCTAAGCGCTGACACTTGTACCCGATCTTCACGCTCATACACAAGAAACGCGTTCACCCGGCCTGATAAAAGGAAGAGGAAAAACAAAAATCATTCTCTTGATGCAGGTTAGTGCTTTCCTTTCTCCCCCCTGCCCCACTGCACTTCATTCCCAGTTTAAATTTTATTCTATTAGAATAGTAGAGTTTGGCAGCAGTAAAGTACCACAGACTCGAGGTGGGACATGTCTGGGGGGGCTGCAGCACGTGCACAGGGGTGGCAGATGTTTAATTCCCTCAGTGCAGGGGCCAACAGGAGGGAGGTGCCAGGGAGGCTGCACAGGATGCAGGTGGGAGGTGGGTGCACATCCTGAACTTGCCCCAAGGGTGTATCCCGGGCCTGGATTACAAACCTGGGACTGAGAGGGAGAGCTGCCCTCCCTGCCTTGGGGAGCAGTGGCCACCACCTCCCACTTTCAGAAGGGAATTAGTGGAAAACATTGTCCAGCATCTTCCATCAAGGTCACATGAAACCCTGCCCCCTCCAAAAGGCCCATTACTGTTAAGCCACATCTGTGGAAAATGTTTAGCCACATTTCCTCTTCCTTGCCAGGGAATACAACCCCATCAGAGCTTTAAATGCTGCTCCTGCACCGTGGGACTGGCACCTGTGGAACCATGCAGGTGGGGGTGGGGGGGGTCCAGGCTGGACACCTGGTCTCAGGTTGGGGGGGTGTTTCCCTTCAGCCACCCCACACTTTACCCTTTGGGCTGGTTGAAATCTCAGTACCAGAGATGATAAGCCTGAGGCACACGTTGCTAAAAGAAGACCAGGAAGGACAGAGACAGATGCACTTACCAAATCTGAACCCGTGCCACTGTCACTAGCAGTTTTCCTTTGCCTTTGGATGCTCATTCAGGAATAAATCAACGGCACTGGACTCTGGAAAACATGTAAGAGGCACTTGCATGTGTTACATTTTCTTTTTTTTTGCTTTTCTCTGCAAAGCCCACAGCACACTGTGAACTTGGAAATCTATATTTAAGGCGATCCCTCTGCACAGGGTGTAACAACAGCTGGACAAACTGTGTCAAACTACCTGAGGCTTCAGTCCTGCGGTTGTAGGACCCACCCCCTTTTCCTGACTTACTCATCTGTGACCCCTCCTTCGCCATCGCCGCCACGGCGTCCTCGTGGCTCTCAAAATGCACCTCCACTTCTCCTGTGGCGTCTCCCTGGGAGTTGTATTCCACCAGGATCCTTGTGGGCCTCAGCGGAGCAAAAAACTGAAAAGAGAAAATCTGGTGAGAAAGAAACAGTAATCCAAGTGATGGGTATTAACACATCCCAGCAAAGCCTTAATCCCTTCTTATCCATGGAGGGGAGAGGATCCCTGTTGTGCCCCAGAGGCCTCAGCTGCCCCAGGCACCTGTACCCCACATTCCACCTGAAGCCACACAGCTCTGAGAACTAACACACACAAATAAATCAACAACCTGCAGTTGCTCCAGCTGTAACCATTAAGAGAGGGTTTGCACTGGGAATGACAGCCACCTTTCATCTGTAGTTTCACTGTAACTCACATTTATTATGTCTTGGGCAGTAGCTTGGGTAGGGAGACCCTTCATGCAGACACAGTGCCGTGCTGGTGATGAGGTGTTCCCAGGCTCTAAAACGCTCCTGGAGTTTTCTGTTTCTCCCCTGTACAATCCTGTGGAATGGAAGGAAAAACCAACATTAGTGCTTGCAGTTACCCCCTCCCTGCCATAAAAGTGGGGTGAAATGAAGGGGCCTTGAAGAACACCCACAACAGGGAGGGACTCACTGTTTTCTTCCTGGGCTCTCGTGCCTCTCCATCCCCTTTCTTCAGGGAGGGATTCATATTCTCTTCTCATTTTGGAGTAGGTCATCAACTGCTTGTCGTGGGACATGTGCCTTTGCATCTGGTGCTTTCTGCTTACATACACTTCTATATACCTGGAATGCAAAGGGGAAGAGCACGTGGCTCACCTGGCTCCCAGGGTCTGGATAAAGCACCTTCAGGATGCTTCCTGCCTCGGCTCTGCTCAGCTACTTGGGGTGAGAGCCCTGGCATGGGAAGATTCCGTGCTGAATGATTCATTCATTTAACTGTTTTTGCCTCGCTGCACTTCTGCAAACTGAATTTTCTAAAAACCCCGAATTAAAACCAACACCCAGCCCCAAAACAGCTCACGGAATGAGCAGACCAAGAAGATGCACAGAGTCACGGGAAATACTTCAGTGGAGCCCTGAGATTTCCTTATGGCTACGGAATTGATGGGATTGCACCAGCAGTGTTGTATCAGGCAACTTCCACAGCACTGAAGGAATAGTGTGGTGATGAAGGGAATATGCACAGCAAAGGGAGAGGGCTTTCCTCCCTTCCCAAAGCCAGAGTAGGGGAAGTAACCCCATGTATAGGCTGGCAGAGCTGACAGCTCAGCTGCCCCTCAGACCCCCACTCTGTACTGGGCACTGCTGGAGGCCAGTTCTGGATAAAACCAGGAAGAATGAATGGGAGCAACTGCAAGCAGCTTTGGAAACCCCTCCATTTCCTGGCTAATCACATGGAAATGCAGGTGTGTGAGCTCAGGTGGATGAGTCAGGTCAGCTCTCATTCCATCATGACAAAGGAAAAGCTAACAGTAGATTCAGAATTAATCTCTACTGGAGAGGAGGGAAGTCTGTTAATTAATTCAAGTAATTAATTAATTAATTTCTGCCTACAGAGCAGCTGTCTCCTTTTGAGGGGGAGGGGGCAAACCCAATGCATTCTGGGAAAAGGAAGCAAGGTATAAAAAGCAGGAAGTCAGGGGTGAGCAGGAGAAGAGGTAAGGATAAATCTTTTGTTATGTGGGGTGCAGATAAAGAGTTTTATAGATTACTGAAGTCAGAAAACTCAGCAGGGGGAAAACACTTTTGATTGTTTGAGTTTTCTTTCCTGAGCACAGTTCTGGGGATTTTTAAAACCTGTGCAGGTGTGGTGCTTAGGGACAGGATTTAGGGCTGGGCAGTGCTGTGGTTAATGTTTGGACACAATGATCTTAAAGGCCTTTTCAAACCTAAATGACACCTTTATGCTTGGAAAAAGTGGTCTGTGCTTCTGCTTGAGAGGAGAGAGGCTCTGGTGAGGTAAGTGTGTGGCACAGGGCTCAGTGCTCTGGAGTAAAATGGTGAACTTCCCAGGGAGGGAGGGCAGCCCATGGGGATCTCGTAACCAAAGAGGTGGGAGATAGTGTGGTGTTGGCCAGCAGTCTCCATTGGGAAGGGACTCAAGCCAGGTAACCTGTTCTTTGTCTGGTTACTGGGATGAAGGGAAGGGGGCTGGCTGACAGAACTGCCTGAAGCATGGAGGAACCTGGTGGAAATTTGGAGGGTCACGTGTTGGAAGGAGGCAGAGGAGCCCCGTGCACTTGGGGCTGGGCAGCCTGTGTCTATCCAGTGTTCCCCCCTCTGAATGCTGTCAGCCCTTTCTGCTGGGATGAGAAGGTCTTCAGGAACACCGAAAACACCTGAGACTCTTCTCCGAGAGGCCCCAGATTCCCCCAGACTACAAGAGCTGCAGGTGCCTCTGCTTTCCTTAATAGCACTGTGAGTGTGAGAAGAGCTGTTCCACCCGGCAGGAAGGGAATAAGGTGCTCCATAACATGTTCTTCTACCCCCTGGGACCCCAGGTAAGTACCCACCTATTTCCCATATACTCTTTGTGCCGTAACAGGGCTTTAGCTGCCATTTCAGGAGTTGCAAACTGCACAAAAGCTTCTCCTGTCTTTCTGTCTCCCCGATAAATGAAGGCTATGTCTGCTATTTTCAAACCTAGAGAGGGGAGAAGAGAAAGAGGCATTGACCTTGGCAGGAACTTGTGCTATAGCTCAGAAAGACTTCTTTTTTTTCCTTATTCTTCTGGTTTTTGACTGCCTAATCAGGCAGTTAAGTAGTTCTGAAACAACTGCTCATGCTGACCTAAGTATGTTCTTTAAATTCTGATTTATTTGTTTCAAGTTAGTTTTCACAGAAGGCTTAATTAAAAAAATTAAATCAACTTGAGGCTTCAAATAACTATGGAAATAAGTAAATCCAAGTTCTAGGCAATAAAGAGGTCCAGAGCACAAATATTCTTGAAATTTTCTCTCATTATTATGGTAGCTTTTCCCCTATCTCTTTAAAGCTCAGGTCAAATTCAGTGAGTTTCAGTTTCTGTGCTGTGTATCATCATCTTGGGGAGCCAGGAACCACCTGGACTGCTCTAGTAGTGAGTATGGGATACATGATCCAGCTATCCTGATCATGCAGCTGTGAACACCCACACTGCATTCACCTGGGCTGTAGCTACCATAGACCTCTTCCTCCTTCTCAGCTTTGCCCTGGTAGCAACCCAATGCCAGATCACAGCATATGGCTCCCTCTCCTTTTCTTCCCCTGGCCCCAAAACAGAGCGCTCCAGGAACTGATCCTGGGTTAGACATGCACAAAGTCAGAGGTACAGGGAAACTCTGCAGCCTGAGTGACTTCCAGGGGAACAGCAACTCCTTGTGGTGTTTAATGTGCTCAAGGCTGCACCTGCTTTGCTTTTATCCCTCAGGGGAACAACAAAGCATCAACTTAAGGCAGTAAATGCCTGGCCAACGAAGAGCGCAGAGCGGGCTGAGTTACCTGCGAAGAAATCCGCAATGTCCTCCTCGGTGGAGCTGAAGGGGAGGCCTCGGAGCAGCACCACTCCATCGTTCATGGCTTGGGACTCATCCCGCAGGCTCTGCATCAAGCCCTCCACATCACTGTCGTGGACTTCAAACACTGCAAGGAACGCAGGTAGGGAACGTTCTCCCTCATGGCAGCACTCCATGGGCATTCTCCTAAGGCAGCTTTCCCCCTCTGCAAAGCTCCATCCCATTTCTTCCCCCACCCCACGCTCTATGGTCCTGCCCCTTTGCTTTCCCTGCCCAGCCTTGGAAAATTTGGATCAATGATGCCTTACTAGCTGATCTGTTGCTCAGTTCCAAACCCTGCAGCTCTCCACGCCAGCCCACTTTATTATTAGTAATGAAGTTGCTCTTATTCACTTGGAAATTTTGTTCCAACGTAACTTGTGCTGTTCCAAACCCACCTTTCACGTAGCGTGGGCCCATGTACCTCAGGTGCTTTTCCAGGGCTCTCTGGACGTCTTCTTTGGACTCCAGCTCGATCAAGGCATCCCCCCTGCGCCTCCCATCCCTGTTTAAGAGGAAGTGCACCCCGTTCTCACCGTTCCGAATTCTACAGCCTGGAAATCGAGGAACAGACCACAGAGGAACATACAGAACTACATCAGACACAGGGGTCTCTTTATCCTGACTACAGCACACAGAGCTGATCCCATCCCAGCGCTGCAAAACAAAGAGTGGAACACACCTATTCCTAACCTTGAATCTGACTTCAAACCGCCTTAATTTAGTCTGGCAGGTGAGTAAGTAATTAAAAAACTTGGATCTGGCCTCTGGAAGGATGTGGTACTGTATTACAGTATGGGGGGATCAGCCCTGAAGAGGTATGCAAAAGCCTATGAATTAGAAAGCAACCCTGAAGTTTAAACCAATCAGTAAAAACACAGTCCAGTTTCTTAAAGAGAGGAGTTGAGGGAATAAAGCCAGCCATAATGGTCTGTAAAGGCATCACTTTGAATTGGATTGCCTTTGCTGTGGAGACACTAAAATGGGAAAGACTTGTACAACTGAACATAAAATGCCTTAAGGGTGAGCTTCTAGTTGTTGTCTGGCAGGTTAGAAATTCAATACTTGCTTTATATGCGCCAATTGTGGATATTTTTGCAGCAATAATAAAACCTCATCTTTCTCTGGCTAACGATCTCTAAATTTTCTTTCTGCTAGGTAATCACGAGCTACGGTTTCAAAGGCAGCAGAGAGGACAGTCAGCCAGGAAAATGAACACCCGTACTATCAAAGAAGGTAAGCACATCTTCCTCGGTGCACGAGAAGGGGAATCCTTGTGCCCTGACGAGGTAGACACTGTCAGTCTCTGCCTTGGGCGAACCGGGCTCCTGCTCTGAGAGGCGACCTTCCTGGGACGGAGCATCGGTGACCTGGCGCCGAGACACGAGAAACCCCCCCGAGTTAAGCGGCGGAAGGACGCGGGTTCCCGCGGGGGCAGGTGGCCGCCATTCCCGCGGGCTGTACCTGGCTGTAGGTGCGGAGCGCGGCGCGGAGCGGCCCCGGGCGGGGGGTGGGAGCGGGGCCGGTGCGGGCGGGCGGCGGGCGCAGCGCGGGCGGCAGCGCCAGGAGCCGGCCCAGCAGCAGCGCGGACAGACCGCGGCGGGCGGCGGCGGCCACGGCCATGCCGGGGAATCGCGGCTCCGCCTCCGCGACCTCCCTTCCCGGCAGGCGCCGCACGGGAACCGCGCGGGAAGCGCTTCCAGGTCACCCTCCGCTGCACCAGGGTGTCAGCATCCCCATCCAGCCTGGGCTTGGACGCTTCCAGGGATGGGGCAGCCACAGCTTCTCTGGGCAGTCTGTGCCAGGGCCTCACCGCCCTCATAGGGAAGAATTTCTTCCCAATATCCCATCTAATCCTACTGTCAGTGTGAAGGCGTTCCCCCTTGTCCTGTCACTCCAGGCCCTTGTAAATAGTCTCTCTCCATCTTTCTTGTAGCTCCTTCAGGTACTGGAAGGCCACAATTCGGTCACCCCAAAGCTTTCTCTTCTCCAGGCTGAACAATCCCAACTATCTCAGCCTTTCCTTACAGCAGAGCTGCTCCATCCCTCTGATCATCTTGGTGCCTCCTCTGGACTCGCTCCAACAGCTCCATGTCCTTCCTGTGTTGGTGCCCCAGAGCTGGATGCAGCATTCCAGGTGAGGTCTCACCAGGGCACAGCAGAGGGGCAGAATCCCCCCCTCCCCTGCTGCCCACGGTGTGGGATGAGCCAAGGACATGGTTGGTTTTCCAGGCTGCCAGTGCACGTGGCCAGGGCATGTCCAGCCTCTCACCCACCAGCACCCCCATTTGGAGTTTCTGTCATCAATAGCACTTTAATTTTTTTCTTTTAATCAAACTGTTCGTAAAGGAGAAAAAAACCCAAACCACAGCCTACTTGCAATATGAAGTTTTAAGTCAGGCTTCAGCATGACGAGGCTTTTACACGCCTTCCCTGCAGAGTTATTGTCTAAGAGAGCTGACTTTCTCCCCCTTGCTCCCTTCCCTGCTTGACAGTCTTAGAGGCCAGCACTGGCTGAACCTGTTGGCAAGAAACATTCCCCTTCCAGGTGATCTGGGAAAACAGTCCTGCTGTTGTTGCTGCATCTGAGAGATAAGGGGGAAAAAGCCAGCACCAGCTTCTTGTACACATGGTGAAGGTAGGTCGTGCTGAACCCAGAAAAAAAAAATAGCGTGAAGCCAAATGAGCAGGAAGAGAAAATGCAAGCCAAAAACCCAGACCCCAACAGTGGAGGAATGCAGGGAGGCTCCGCAGGCTCAAATCCAAGATATTCAGGCAGGCATCAGGCAGACAGAGGCTGTGCCAGCCTGGCACGTGAAGCCCAGTGTCAGGAAGATGGTGAGAGCTATGACAGCCAAGATATTCCTCTTTTTCTGACATCCTGCAGTTTTAGCCTTAGGATCAGCAAGGAAGGGTTGTAATCTCAAGCCATTGCAAGTTATCAACCTCAAAATACAATCTTGGGTTTTTCAGCACAAGTCTTTCATCTTGCTGTGGTGCCAACACGTTCTTTTATCAGAAGCCTTGAATGTTTCTTATCACCCTTTTGAAAATGTGAACAGGCTACTTCATGTCACCTCCTTGTTGCTGGCTTCTGCTTTTGTAAACTATTTCTTGTAACAAACTTTCACATGACAGACTATAACCCTGATAACAGCACAGCCTCTTGACAACAGCACTCTCAACCCTTCTGAATTTTCAAGGTAAATCATGCATTATGCACATTTTCAAAGGAATGTTGACCTTGGTGCTCAAGTGGTTCACATTCCAATTTTTTGTAGCCTACTTGTCAGGTTTCTCTTCAAAACCTTCTTTAAATCAGCAAGCAAACATTATAGGAGAAAAAAAATTAAGGTAACTATAGGAATGCATCTTGAGCACTTATCTGTATCTAGATTGGCTGTTGTGCTTTCAGTTTAATTGGATAAGCAGATCCCTGAATCTTAGGGACCAAGGGAATGTTATGTGCGTTCCTCTCTTGTGACCCAAGCAGGGTGCAAGGAAGAGTCTCTTGAAGGGATGCACATCTCCCACCCATTTTACCTTTGATTTATTTGCTTCCCAAGTACAGGAAAAAATACTCACTGATGCTTGCCTGGCAGCTTGTCAGGTTTGTGCAAGCTAGCTTTAGAGAGCATTGTGTTGCTGGGCATCCGTTGGCACTGAAGTTGCCCAGGAATCTCAGAGCTTCCTTAGTTACATGAGGAATCAAAGCCTCTGCACCTATGATAGGAAAGGAAAAGTCATCCTAGGACAAGAGAATTTGCATTTACTCACTCGACAGAACTGGTGCTGAATGAAGTCTACTTAGGAGAGGGAATCTGCCTCTGTAAAAATAGAAAATCTCAGGAGATGACTCCATACTCCTGTGGACCAAGAGGTTTAATTTATCTGCCTTGGGAGATGCCTTTTTTGATACTTCTTCAATCATGTTAAACAGGTTGTTTTTGAGAATAATTAATACCAGCTATTCTTTAGCCTGATCAGAGAGAAAATGAAAATGTTCGGAGGTGATACTAAAACAGGTGCTTATCTTGTATTGGGAAACAGTCCTTATCCCTCTGTGTAATTTATCGTCGGGAAAAATTGACCTTATGTTCTGTTGTGGTATTTTCTGAAATTATTCATATTTATTTATATACTGTATTATTTGCATTTCAAAACAAAACGTTGTTTCCTTTTTGCCCCTGTCCCATGTTTTGTGATCTTAATTTCTGAGCTTCTTTCAGCTGGAACGTTCCGTGTTAACCCGGCTGCGCCGAAAAGCTGGAAACTTCAGCTCGGGACCCAAGCGCTTTGTCAGCTGGAGGGCCCTTTCAGAGGAATTCTTTGAGCTGTGCAGCGTAATGGATAAACCGAAACGACAGACGTGGGGCCACGGGAGCGCTGGCTGTGCCTTCCCCGGAGCAGCGGAGCGGTTCGACTCTTGCGTAAGCCTGCGCGCGCTGCCAGCCCCTCGGGTTGTCTGAAGGGAGCCCTTCATGTGACCCTCAGCCATCCCAAACGGACCGATGTTAATGTGAGACATAAAACCTTACTCGTTACGTAACCGTTTCTCCCGGCCAAGTATTCCCTACTGCAAGTAAACAAACATTTTTAATTTTAACTTGCCGCTAAAATGAAACATTCTGTGGGTAGAAGGAAGCGCATGGGCGGGAGCGGGGAACGTGGGTTATTCGTGTCCCAACGTGAATGTGCCAGAAAGATCAGTGATGTATTTTCGTTTGATTAACGTGGCTGATTTAGTCTGACAGCATCTGTTAAAAAGACCCATTTCATGCTTTTGCTAATACAGCCAAAAGGAAAATTTTGCAATCATGGTGAAATGCTTTTTAATTACACCTTTGGTGCCTGGTGAAACACTGAATTTTAAAGGTGTCCTAAAAACAGTAGTGTAATTTTAATTTACTTAGAAATGCACTGACCTGGCATTCTGACTTAGTCTGAAGGACAGAGCCAGAAAGTAGAAAATGCAGTTTCAGCATTTAAAAACGTGAGAGAAGCAGATGACTGTCAGTGTGGCCACGTAAGGCATTATAGCTGAAACCTCTGATGTGCCATATGGAACCTTACTGTTTTGTGGGACTGTAGGTTGTTTTGATGTAGAGAATTTGCCTGATAAATCTGAAAGTCATGAGGTTTTCCTCTGGCCTACCTGCAGCAGCGTGAGGTTTTTGGGGTTGCTGAATCCCCATGGGGCAGGAGGGAATCTCAGGGGGTTGTGTAGCCTGTCCTGTGTTCTCTTCAAAATCCGGCTTCTTACTGACCTAAACAGAGGCAGATTTTTGTGTGAAATTACACCCTGGGATTGTAATTTCTGCCATAAAAAGAGCTGGGATGTGATTAAATCTGCCTGGCAAGGCTTATTTAGAAAAACTGGACTTGTTTTACCTCAGCAGTTTGCAGCTGCCCATAGCGTCACCTCTGAGGTGTGGCCTTCCTTAGCTGACTGCTCACCCGCACCAGCCCGGTTACTAATTGCTCGCAAATCACATATTAGAAATATCAGAATCCATTTTGACGACTTTGTTTAAAAAAAAGGGTTGCGTGACGGGAGCAGAAACGCTGGTTAAGACCTTCCTCTTATTTTTCCGAGCGTGATGGTGACCTGTGGGCTGGTACCTGAACTTCTTTGTCCTGAGGGCAAGAGGGGGAGGCCTGTGGGGACGAGGGGGGCTCCGGAGGTGCAGGGGGTGCCTGTTTCCAGGGAAATGTCTGAGGGTGGACACACGGCCGTCTCTGAGGAGAAGGCCGGCTATGGAGGGGCAGGGGGTCTCCCCGTTTCCAGGGAATTGTCTAGGAGGGCACACATGGGTGTCTCTGAGGGGGCGGCGGGCGGGATCACCCCGAGGGGTATCGCCGTGCCCGGGGCCAAGAAGGGCCGCCTGAGGGGGATCACCGTGCCCGGGGCCAAGAGGGGCCGCCTGAGGGGCAGCCCCGGTGCCGTGAGGGAAGCGGGAGGAGCTGTAGCCCCGCGGCCGCAGCCGTGAGGGGAGGCGGCGGCGCGGGGGCCGCTGGGGGCGATGGCGGCCGGGCGGGCCGTGTCCCCGCCCCGCGGCTCTCTCCCCGCACCCGCCCGCCCTGCGCTGCCATTGGGAGCCGAGCCGCGCCGAGCCCAGGCAGCCGCCGGTCCCGCTCCGCCGCCGTCGCCATGAGCTTCTTGTTGTGAGTACCCGCGGGGCGTGTGTGGGGGGGGTCCTTTCCTCTTCCCTCTGCCCCGTCCCGCCGGCCAGGGCAGAGCAGGGCAGCCCGGCGAGAAGGACGCGGCCGCCGCCCGCCCTCTTGCCCGCCGCTCCCCGCCGGCCTGGCGGCCGCGCTCCGTCCCGCTCGCCGCTCTCTCCCTTTGTGCCCCGGTCCCCCGGGGGGCCCCGGCAGCAGCCGCTCCCCTCAGCCGGCGGGGAGCGCGGGGGGGCGGCCGCCGCTGCGCCGCGAGGGCGTTTGGAGGGCGGGCGAGCCGGGCTTCCCCTTCCCGCACGGCTTCCCTTCCCGCGGGGACACGGGTTCGGGACCGTCCGCGGATCCGCCGGGGCACCTCCCCGGTGAGCGCCGTGCTGGGCGGGCGAGAGCGGGGTCTGGGTAGAACGCCCACCCGAAGGGTCTCCCCCCCGGGTTTTATGATGTTTCCGTAACGTTTTCCTCCTTCCCGGCGGGCAGAAGTTGGTGCGGTAGCGTTGCGTGCCCCAGCTGAGTTAGGAGCGGCTGGAGCGTGGAAGTGAATCCCGGGGCAGGTGATGGGGCAGGTGGGGCTCCCCGGTGGCCTGAGCCCCGCCAGGGACCCGGCCGAGCTTTACTGCGGCATAAAAGAGCTCCCTTAGGAATCGGTGGCAGTCCAGGTGTGCACAGAACCCCGCACTTCGCAATTTTGCTTCGTGGGCAGCAACCGAATGAACTTTGGTCCCTCCCCTTGGGAACAAAGACGAGGTACTTTGTGACAATTAACATAAACCGGTTCAGTGACCTATTAATTAAGGCGGAGATGCGCTCTAGGGAAAGAAGGGAGACCCAGGCAGCTGAAAAAGGCGCCCTGGCAGAGCCGAGCTCCATTAAGGCCTTGGCCCCGCTGAGCGTTCCCAGTTCTGTGCGAGCAGTTAGTGGGACCGTGTCCGTAATATCTGGCAGTTGTTGGAGGCTTACACTGATAACCAGCAGATGTAAATGTAGCCTGCTTTTAGAGAGGAGACTTTATCTCCGAGCTGGAGCGTTCTAGTGAGTTGTGTTCTCATGGAGACCAATAACCCCGGTGCCGGCTTCCTCCTCAATCCCTGCCTTGCGTTTATCTTTTGACTCTGCCGCACCAAACCCGCTCCATGCCCCCAGAGAGGTTTTGAAAGACACCTCTCAGCTGTGAGCAGGAGGTGGGTACAGATGATTGTCCATGGATTCAGGCGTTGTGCTAATGAGAAGCCCAGCTGTCCCCCTCCTTCATAATTCTCAGCTGCCACGGTGAAGAAGGGGGGACAGGATTTCGAGTGTCCTGGGAGTCTGGTTTGCAAATTAGAGAGCCTCCCTCTCCGTGGCATTTGGCTAACTGGGAATGGAAAAGCATGAAACCCTCCACCCTCTGTCACAGGCAATAATGAGATGCTTGTTTCTTTTTCCAGACCCTTCTGAAACCTAGGAAAGAAAACCTTTACCCCCACCTCCATTGTTCCAAGTGATCCTTCTGCATGAAGTATAGAAATGGAAACTGGAGTTGCTGCATGGCAAAGCCAGAAATGTTGGGAAAGCTGCCTCAGCTGCTTTTGGCAGAGTGCTGTAGACAGCACCTAATTTGCTCATCTGCAGCGTAGAAATGGATTTTTAAAAAAAAAATAAATCCAAAATATGCCTGGTAGGCCTCAGGGAGACCAGGGAAACTTTCTGTGTTACCGGCAGGGAGTTATGCTTTTTTTGTTTGGTTGGGTTTTTTTAAGTATGCAAAAAGTTAGCATCACCTTATCAAGTTAAAATTCGAGTTTGACAAAGAGTTATTCCAAGACAGTGGTTGGATATCCTTACACTTTCTGCAGGCTTAGCACTGCAGACTTGCATTTTGAACTGCAACTCCCCCCCACGTGCACAGCACTTGTAACAGAGTTTTTCACGGTACTTTTTCACGGAGGGTTTTCGTGGTGTGGAGGTGCCAGAGGTGTTTTCTCTGTGTGTCAGCGGCTCTGCTGTCCTTTCGTGAGCTGACTCATGCTTTGGAACTCGCAGCAAAGACACGCTGAGACTGGGGAGGTTTTCCCAACCTGCCGTGCAGGTTTATCACCAGGGGCTTGGCTGGAGCTTGTCAGTCTGACACTCAGCACGATGCCAAGAACCGTGTTCTCCTGCAGACTCGCTGGTTGTCAAATAACAGGGCGATTGTGCCGGGATAACACAGGGTGCCGGGGGCCCCCCTTGTCCGCTGGCAAATCCGGGGCTATTCTTCCCTGTTGCTATGGCCAGTGACAGATAGAGCTGCATGGGGGGGAAGGAAAATCAAGGGGAACCATTGTCTTCCCTCGTTATGGGGAACATTATAAAAAGACTGTCTTGTGAGGCGAGTCACTGAATTAATACAACTCGGTTTTGACAGCAATTGTTATTTTCAGTGCCGCTGTTTTCTCTCCCTGATCCGCTTCTTCCTTTCTGAAAAGACTTTATAAACCCCTCCGATGGTTGAATAAGGTCGTCCCAAATCTTTAAAAAGGGTTTAAAAATGGGAGTTGGGCTAGAAAATATCTTCAGTTCCAAAAAAACTCTGCTTGGTAAGTTCTCTCTAAAAGGAAATTACAGCATAGTTGCAGGTACTTCAGCTTACGTCTCCAAGGAAAAAAATTAAAGATAGTTCTGGTGGGCGTGCCATCTGGTGACATGCCTGTGTTATTCTCTGCTGGCAAAACTTACATAAAAAAGAAGCTAGATGAAAACCAATTTTTTATGGAAGAGTTTTATTATTGAAGTTGTCTCTTAAAAAAAAATTGAAAAATCCATCTTTATGTTAGTGAATCCCTCTCAGAAGATTCCAGCACAGTTTTTTTTAAAAATGAGGTTTGTTTATGTAGTTGTTGCCTGATGAGTCTGGGAAAGACTAGGAGCTGCTGGAGCAGCAAGTGGGGGTGAGGGCTGTTGTTGGGGGCACATATGTTTGTGAGTGAAGGCCAACTTGTAAACCAAACTGGGGGACAAAATGAGTTCTCCCTTGTCTGGCTTGTTCTGCAGCACAGTGGAGCCTGGCAGCTGCTTCTCATGCTGCACATGGGTTAATTTTTTTTTTTTAATTAAATTAAAATCACACTTTGTTTGTAAATATACGTGCAGGAGATATAGCGAGACGTTACTTTTTTTTCCCCCCTTACCTCTCTTGCAGAATAATCCCAAAATCTGAGCTGATGTGTTTGTTTCCAGATTGACAAGGAGTGTGACCTTCCCGATTCTCCAGGCTGCTCCTGCTCTTGGAGAGCATCAGAGCTGTTTGTTGTTGTCCCTTCCTCAGCTTCCTGAGATGCTGAGTTGCTGCTGAGTTGTCTGGGAAATAGAGCAGACATCCAGATATTTATTTCCCTGTGTTTTAATACACTAGTTTGCTTCACTTTCAGCTTCATGAGTGTAATACTACTGTAAGAACTGGGAAAGGACTCTCCACATGGGAATGTGTTCCCATAAAATCACTTCTAAATGCTCTTAGATACTGCCTTCTCAGATAGAAACATTTGGAATGAAAAAAAAAATAAAGGCATAGGAAGAAAGCCATTGTTCAGTGTGAAAGTTGTGTTTACTACAACGCTGTGATGTCCGGTCTTAATTGCTTCCTAATTGTTTGCTTTAATGTCTCGATTGTTTTCCCTTGTTTGTCCTTTCCTCTCCGTGTTTGCAGTGTAAGTGAACCTATGCCATTAGCTGTTCACAGGGAGTCGTGGTGGAACGATGATCATTTTCGGGAGAGGGTTTGTGTGCTGGAAAGTGGCTTTTTCATTTTTTGTCAGTTTTTCATTTTTTATCAGTTACCTTCGGCACCTTTTCATTTTCGGCCAGGGTTTCGGGTTTGGATTTAGGACCCCTTCATGGCAACAGCCCAGGGCTCACAGTTCCATCTCGTGCTGTCCTGAAAGATGCACAGTCTGGTTTTATCCTGTTTGAAAAAGGACAAAATATTAGGAGTGCTTGTCCACCACCGAGGGGTGGCTGGAGGGATGCAGAAAGGCTGACAGAATGAAGCCGCTTGTTTTCCTTAGGGAAGTAAATGGCTCCATTAAATCGGGCCACTTTAAGTCTTCCCTCCTAAGCACTAAGGCAGATCTTGCTGCCAGAGCCATCAATAAGCCTTTGACCCACAAATCAACCCAAACCGCAGGATATGCTTTGCGATGCTTTTGGCATTTGTAAACTGAGCCACTTCCTATTAGAGCTGAGCTACAATGAACTTGCTGTTTGGGTTTTGTCCCTTTTTTTTTTTTTCTTAAATTTAAAATACACAGAGAGCGAGGTGGTGGGTTATAAACTCAGCTGCTGTAAAATCTGTTTTCAGCTACAACCGACTTGGAAAAAACATCTCTAGCCTTTAAGTTTCATGACATGGGATTATCAGGATCCAGTGCTTTGCTTTGTCATCTGTCTGTGTTGCCTTTCTAAAAGTGGCATTTCCTTCCCTTTTGCTTTCCTGGCACCCCTGTGGCATTAATGTGATGTTGGCTGGCAGGGTTGTGACCTCACCTCAATGCTGTGATGGACACCCTTGTACCGGTGTGAAGGACCTTGTGAAGGAATGCAGAGCTGACTGATGTTGAAAGCATTCGGGGGGGGGAAAAAGTGGGGAAAAGTCCCTTGTGAAGTCTCTACAACACACGTAAGGACAAGAAAATTGTTCTTCTCCAAGTATTCAGGAAGACATCTGTTGCGTTTACCTCTTCTGAGAGGAAATACACTGAATTTTAAAACTGAGCAGGGTGCTCTAAAGTCCCCTCCAGAGTTATATCCTGAGCGGCTTATCCAAAAGCCACGTGCGTGCAGCTTTTCTGGATCAGTTTAAAGCAGCTCATAAAGGAGTAACCACAAAGTTAATTTTATGATTTCCTCTAATAATTTCCCAGGGCCAGCGTGGTGGTTAAGTCCGCATGTGGATCTCTCAGATGCTTTCCCGGGGCGCTGCTGCTTGGGGTCAGTATTTTGGGGAGGGGATTGGAAAGAAGGGAATGGGGAGCTGAGGGTTTGCAGGTTATTTGTTTGAAATAACTTGTAATGTCTCAGTTGGCTTGGTAGGCATGTGCCTTCCAGGGCCTGACACCCTGTTTTGTGCAGAGTAGTACGACGACGTGTGTGGTGCATCCCAGGCGTGTTCCTTTTCATTCAAGGCTTTGCTTCCCAATTCAAATCCTGAGCCTGAGTCAGCAGACAGTCATTTCACGTGGATGAGATGGGATTTTTTTGTGTGCCAGCCCCCCACTGTGGATTCATGAAGGTAACTGTAGTTTTTGCCTCGCAAATACATTTTGATACTTCTAAAAGCAGCCCTGTGATCCTGCCCATATTTCAGTTGAGTTTTAGTTGAAGCTTGTTTTTTTTTTTTTCACGTTTGGTTTTTTTTTTTGTTTTTTTTTTCTTGTTGTTGTTGTCTGTCCTTGCACCACTTCATCTTCCAGTGTGGTCACTTGCCTCCAGAGTTGTGTCCTCCAGAGATGCGAGCGCTCCTGACGCACAAAATCTTAATCCCTTCCTCAGCGAAGGAGAACATCTTGCAGATAAGGACTTGTAATGCCTGGATTTGTTGTCTTTATCACAAGTGTAATTCCTTTCTTTGTGACAAAGAGAACAAATGAGCTTAAGTGAGCTTTGGTAAATTCCTCTTTTGCTAAAAATTGAGACGACTCAT